ATTGAACTGGCAGATAGGAGGAGCGTAATTTTAGGCAATCAGAATACTTATCAAAAGTTTAATTTCAACCTCCCTGTTCTGAATTAAGGTTCTACGTCCACGTGATAGTCACTAACCGACGAAATGGTTCCCAAATTCCCTATCAGGCATTTTTTTTTCTGCTACTGGGTAAAAGGGTGCTCCCTTGGTAGCAGGGCCCCGGGGCCGCTGGCAGAGATGGTAGGTTGGTATTTGGTACCAGAGTGACAATTGGCACAAGAGCGAAATGTGTGTGCCTCCTCTTCTGCCTTCCTTCGTGGGGCAGTTTTATTTCCAACCAGGTTAGGGTTTAATGACTAGGGAAGGACAGGTTCAAAATCCCAAGGAAGCCGACAGCGGACTGCCAGGGTAGATGCTTCTTGTGGCACGCCCCAGCTAGCTGCAATTCTCTGAGGCCCTAGAACTTGCAGTGTTTTTCGAGACCCGACAAAAAGCTAAGCCGGTTCTCTGTGCTCCTGTGATCCCGAATAGGAAAGTGAGGAAAAGTCGCGCCGGGGTGGGATGAGGTGTGTTGGGGTTGGGGGTGGGGTGGTCACAGATGCCCAGGACAAACAGCCTGCGACACCCAGGACTGCATTTTTTTTTTTTAAAATAGTTCACTGACAAGCTGAAGAAGTTTGTTTAGTACTGAATACCCTAGGAAAAAAATCCTTTTGAAAAGAGAGCTAAGTCGTTTCACGCCACCAAAGTGCAGATTTGGCCAAGAATGACTGATGGGACAAAGAGGCGCGGTGCGTTAGCGCGGGGTTTCTCAGAGCTCAGCAGCAAATACCCGGGGCGACCAGGAACAGTGGGGCGGGCTACAGGAGACCCGCAAGACTCTCAAACCTCAGCACCCAGTCCTCAGTTCTCTTGGCTGCCCCACTATCAGCCCTGGTCGCTGATGAGCCGGTGTCCCGCAAGAGAGATGGTGAGGGACCTGGTAGCACCGGAGAGCGAAGGGGAACGTGGAAAGAAACTCCGACTACAGGCGCACAGGGCAAAGCCCGGCTCAACCGCGACCCTGCAGGCTGCGTACAGTTCACTTTCCGAGTTGGGGCGGCGGGTAGCGTTTTTTAGCGCCTGGGAAACCTTCAGAAGCCGCTGGGTACGTTCCTTCTACCTCCCATCCGGTTTGGTAAATATTAACAAACTGTGGCGCGGTTATTTTCTAGAGTGTGTTTGGTGGGTTGGCGGGAGGGGGTGGCTCCGGGGGAGGGTCCTTCTCTCCTTGAGCCCTCTCCTCCCCACAAGCCAGTCCCCAGCCCCATCTCTCTCTCTCTCTCTCTCTCTCTCTCTCTCTCTCTCTCACACACACACACACACACACACACACACACACACACACACACCTGCTTAACAACACAAGGAATCAAAAAATCAATATTGTTTTTGTCACCCCTGTCTCCTTTTAACTCCCTCAGCAACTCGGGTGCCACTGAAGCGAATTGTGGATTTATGGAGGGAAATTAGCATAAATTATTGCAAAATCTGCAGCCGTGTGTGGTCCAGCTTGTGGGAAAAGAGGCTCTAGCAAACTTTCAGTGGAGAAAGGTGGTGGGCGGTGGGCTTGACGAGGCGATGAACGGCCCTTGCTGGAGGGGATTTCCATTTGGTTGGCACATGGGGTATAATTGACTTGTGTGTATTTTATACAGTTTTCCCAGCAACCCTTTAAGCCCCCGGGTCGGGATGTTGCCCCCCCTCCCACCTCCACCAGCTTCTGTTGGCTTTGGGTTTTGTACTATAGACTCTGATGCACTTTTTTTTTTCAAGATTTCTGGAAAGCACTCCTCTTTATAATAGCTGTCGAGATGCCTTAAACAGCTTGCAACTGCTCCTTCCCTCCCCGGGGCTTTGAAGATCTCTGACAGCACCCGAGGGAGAACTTGTAGAAATGCCCATCAGTTAAATGCGCCCCTCAGTTCCTTTCACCTCGCAAGGCAAACTTAGGAGATTAAGTTCTGTTTACTTGATTAACCCTGAACACGGGCAATGAGACCCAGCTCCTTTCTCGACTGTAGCCTGACTGACTTTGAAAATTCCTCAAACACCAATTCCTACTAGTATTATTGCATGAACTCGGTGGTGACAATTTTCCCCAGAAAGATGAACAAAGATTTATTCCAAGTTAAGGGTTTTTTTTTTTTTCGTGGTGGTTTTTTTTTTCACTTTTAGAATTTAGTTAATCTTCCACTTGCTCTGAGCAGTGATTTCCACAGCCACACAATGGCCTCTTTTGCAGGGCAACAAAATGCCAATTGTTAAAATAAGAAAACATTGTTCGCTCTCATTCCTCACTATTAACACGCACCGTTACGGTGTAGGAGAGAATCTTGCTGGTTGTCACTGGGGGAAAGCCACGATCTTGTACCATCTCGAATGCAATCACCATAAACATCTACCTTTGCATTTCAGTATGAACCCACACACATGTTTGCTTTAAAAAAAAAAAGGATCTTTAAAATACTCAGGGAATTCCACGTTGGTACCTTTCCACCCCGGAGCGAACCTGTTTCATTTAAAGCAACTTCTGCCTTAGTGCTTCCAAAGCCAGCTGGTTTTGGAGCATGCAAGACCTGGATCGATCCTCCACCCCTCTTCAAACACCCCTCGGGTTCTCCACCCCCTTGCGCTCCCAGCTCCTCCCACCGCAGGCCCTAGAGCCTAATCCGGGCACGCGCAGAAACACCCCCAAACCTCAGTCCGTTAGCGGCGGTAGCGCGCGCAGCTCAGGCCAGCAGGACTGCCTTGGCCCAACCGGGCCTAGGGTCCTGCTGATTTACTCTTCGGAGAAAAGAAATCCACATATCTGCCCTGCTCTAGCCTTGCCCTGAGAGAAAAGGTCAACGCCCCCACCCCTACCTCCCTGATCCCACCTCCTCCTCCCGGTTATTTTTTCCGAATTAAGAAGGTGACTTGAGTCTTTCTTTCAAGCACTCTGTTAATATTGAAAAACGTGCGCTTGCATCTAAAGTGCGGCAGCCCAGGCGCCAGAGCCATTTCAATATTAATGAAATTGTTTAATCTCCTAAATTCGTCGTGTTTAAGTTACGTTTTGGTGAGTTATTGACCAGCTTCGAAACTGTGGCTAATGAAGTTATGTGAGTGGGTGGGAGGGTGGTGTGCGCGCGCGCGTGCTCGCAAGCTGGAAGGTCTTCTTAAAAATGCTGTCCACAGACTGATGCTCTACTGTCAACAAACTTCAAACCAGAACTCTCAATCTTCTCCTGGAGGGGGGGGGGAGAAGAAAAGGAGAAGGAAAGAGGCTTCCAGACTTTAAAGATGATTCTGTGTAGACTGTAGTAGGTACTGAGTATTTAACATGATGGCATGGGGTTCTTTTTAAACCCACAAAGGCCAGGGAAAGCGCTGAAAAGCGTGGCAGCTCATGGCTGGTACTCATTTTGTGCGTGCTGCTGGGCTGACTCACTGTTTATTTCATAGCAGTTTTGATGATGATGACGACGAAGATGATGATAATGATAATAATGATTCATTTAACCCTCACAAGGCATATCCAAACTCAAAGTAGCTAGCTACCCTCACCAGGCCCAAAGATCGAGGCCACGTTTCCACCTCCACCCAGAAAACTTGCCGGTCCTTCCCAGGTCTCACCAGGCACTGTTTGTCTTTTCAGGGCGGTCTAAACTCTAAAGAAGCTATTCCCATGTAAAAGGAGGAAGGGGGGAACTATAAAATGCTGACCTGCTAACTTCTAGAAACCACCGGAAGTCCCAAGTACCTGGAGAAAGGAAGAAATGCCCCCCCCCCGCCGCGATTGCGTATCTTAGACAAACTCAGGCCCTCCCCAGGTCTACCCACCGCCTGTCTGTCTCAATGCCCCCTGGGCCTCCTGTGCCCATCAAACTGCTAAAAGACTGATAAAGCAAAAACCTAGTACCTCCTCCGTTCTTTTCCTTTCCTTTAAACAAACAAAAAACAAAACTTGCATTTTGGCTTGGAGAGATGACTCAGCCACTAAATGTTAAGCTCACAACCAATAATATATATATATATATATTATATATATTATACATATTATATATATATATACTTCCCTAACACATTCAAAACAGACTCTTCCGCCCAGCTGTCCGAATATTTATGTCGATATGTATCTATTAGCCTTATCACCTTTTTAAAGCGATATGCTCTGTAGTGTGCAGCTTTGAGGCCAAATCAAACTTCGACCTGCCTCTTGCAGGACTCAGGGGTGGTGGGGGGGGCGTATGTTTCCATTCTAAAACCCATCCAACCAATCCCGGGCAGTGCCAATAAAGTATAAGGGTCGCCCTTCAAGAGAAAGCCTGTGCTAGAAGTTAGCTAACAATACAAACCCGATACAATGCGGAGGAAACAACACCCCAGCCGAGCAATTTCCACGTCAAACATCGTCGGCGCGGCAGCTAGCTCAGAGCGTGAATGGTCGCCTGGTTCCCGGCTGGGCGGCTCGCCGCTCCGCTCGTACCTTCCCAACGCGCACACCGGCGGGCGCTGCCCGCTCCCCGCGGGCGGCAGAGGCTCTTCCCGGGTCGCCCCGTCTTCTGCTGGAAGTGATTCCTATTGGCCAAGGTGTCCATGTAAATAGGTGTGAGAGAAACCAGCGCTGGCCAGGCTCTGTCCCCTCTTCCTCAGTCCCCTCCCTCTGCAGCCCCCGCTGCCCCCCTCCTCTTCCTCCTCCCAAGGCGATTGTCATACGATAGCTAAGAAGTGGCACATTAATGAAGCGCCGCTACAGGGGTCTTTTCTGCTCCTGTCACCGCTTAAAACTATCAGATGTTTCGAGGGTGGACATGGAGGCAGCCACCTAGCTCAGCGGAGCAGCGTACGACGCAGCGTCCTCTGGAACCCCGAGGCAGCCGCAGCTGCCACTGTCCGCTCCAGCACTCGCCAGCCCAGCTCCGTCTCCCCGACAGGACGCACAACCCAGGAGCGCCGCGCAGCTCTCACTGCTGAGCCCAAGCCAGGCTCGTAGCTAATCTCTCCGGTCCCTGACTCTGAGCTCCGACCACGCGCAGGAAGGGACTCCCGCACCAGCCGCACTATCCCGGATGCCGACCGGCAACTTCAAACAACTTTAAGGTGAGCATCTATCTATCTGTTCCCTCCCCTGAATCCAGGTTCTACTTACTTTCCTGCAACCCTCGCCCCCACCCAACCCCCGCGGTCCTTCCTTCTCCACATCTGTTGGCTGGGTCCATTCAGTTTGGTGCGCAAAGTTGCTGGTACCCGAATCCTGATTACCCCCCCCACACACACACACACATACACACACACCCGATATCTATGACTCGGCCTGAGTGACCTCGCGGGTGTCTATGCACCCATGCTGCCCTTCTCCTCCATCACCTTCCCCTTCACAGATCCGACCATTCCTCCCGTCCGTGCGGACTCTGAGCAAGTGGGCAAGCGAGAAGATGCCTCGGCCGGGCCGCAACACGTACAGCGACCAGAAGCCTCCCTACTCCTACATCTCGCTGACCGCCATGGCCATCCAGAGCTCTCCGGAGAAGATGTTGCCGCTCAGCGAGATCTACAAGTTCATCATGGACCGCTTCCCCTACTACCGGGAGAACACGCAGCGCTGGCAGAACAGCCTGCGCCACAACCTCTCCTTCAACGACTGCTTCATCAAGATCCCGCGGCGGCCGGACCAGCCCGGGAAGGGCAGCTTCTGGGCGCTGCATCCCAGCTGCGGGGACATGTTCGAGAACGGCAGCTTCCTGCGGCGCCGCAAGCGCTTCAAGGTGCTGAAGTCTGACCACCTGGCGCCCAGTAAGCCAGCGGACGCTGCGCAGTACCTCCAGCAGCAGGCTAAGCTGCGGCTCAGCGCGCTGGCCGCCTCCGGCACGCATCTGCCGCAGATGCCGGCAGCTGCCTACAACCTGGGCGGTGTGGCGCAGCCCTCCGGCTTCAAGCATCCCTTCGCCATCGAGAACATCATCGCGAGGGAGTACAAGATGCCTGGGGGTCTGGCCTTCTCTGCCATGCAGCCAGTTCCCGCTGCTTACCCGCTCCCCAACCAGTTGACTACTATGGGCAGCTCTCTGGGCACAGGCTGGCCACATGTGTATGGTTCCGCGGGTATGATCGACTCGGCCACCCCCATCTCCATGGCGAGTGGTGACTACAGCGCCTATGGAGTGCCGCTGAAGCCTCTGTGCCACGCCGCGGGTCAGACGCTGCCCGCCATCCCGGTGCCCATCAAGCCCACGCCGGCCGCAGTGCCCGCGCTGCCCGCGCTACCCGCGCCCATCCCCACCCTGCTCTCGAACTCGCCACCTTCGATCAGCCCTACTTCCTCGCAGACAGCCACCAGCCAAAGCAGTCCTGCCACCCCAAGCGAGACCCTCACCAGCCCGGCCTCCGCCTTGCACTCGGTAGCGGTGCACTGACCCAAGAGAAGCTGGGGTTCTCTCTTGGTCACCGCTACACCACCCCTCTCACCACTTCTCCGGCTCCGGGTCCAGCCCTCTCCGACCTAGAACCACTATCCTGACTTGCCCATTCCACCTTCTTCCTTCAATCCTCTCTCCTAGGAGAACTTTTGGTTTTGAACCCAGAAAACAAACCACAAACTTGCCAGAAGGCGCGTGAAAGTTGTCTTCGCCCTTCCAGTGCACCAGAGAACACAGGGGCTAACCCAAGCCAAGCGGCCCCTCCAGAGTCCCAGAAATGCACTCCCATCCAATAGGCAGGACACCCTGATTCCCTCCTGCGCGGAGAAAACACAAACAAAAAGAAAAAAAATGCATCTTTTGAGTTTGGATCGGCGGAGCCGTAGACTCTGCGCAATTTCAAGACCAGAGACACTGCTCGAGAGTGAAGCCCGCCAAGGCTGCAGCCGCACAGCAAGGGCCGGATCTTAGGTCCTGAAAATCTGTGGCCACAGACCCACTAATCCTCCTACAGGCTCGCCTCCGCCCATCAGGCCGGGATGGGCGGAACACTGCTTCCCCAGGCTGCGGCCCTGCCTCTCGGGCTTCCAAGGAAGATTATTTTTCTTTCCTTCTGGGTTTTGTTTCCGGCCAGAGGCTCCCTTAGCTGGGAGGAAGGAGAGAGGCTGCTAAACTAGAGGGGACTCTTGTCCTTCACAAATGCAAAACACAGCTAGAAGTCACCGTTATTGTTTACAAAGCGCGCGGTTAAAAAAAAAAATGTAAACAGTGAACTTGAGCCTCTGCCTGGCTAGGCGGGCGAGGGGGCAGAGTCCTCTTTACAATTACCTGTTGTGATGTGAATGTTTACTCTTCTGGCCAGCTTTGGGGAGGGGGGAGGAACGGGGGAGAATGGGGAAGTTAATTGGGATGTTAACTTTCTTACTATTTAGAGACCTTTTTAGCTATTTATTTTGATGAAAAAAAAAAGAAAGAAAGAAAAAGGGAAAAGAAACGTGAACTAAGCCCAAAAAAGAAAGCACCTAGGGCAAGTGGGGGAAGAATGTAGATAAATCGACTGGGAACGTGAAGTGGGGGGTTGTCAACAGAGATGGCCCCTGGACAGATCTTTCTGTTAGAAGAACTTCTCCGTGAAGCTAAAGGGCTGCAAAGAGTTGTAAATAGGAATGAATGATTTACACTGTGTAAAATGCACTTTGGTTTGATATGTTCCTTTTAGCGTCTTAGGTAATTGACTGAAACAAACAAAAACAAACAGACAAAGAACAACGACAGTTGTTCCGGTGTGACCTGTTTAATTTAAAAGAGAAACTGTGGTGTCGTCCAAGCTGTGAAAAAAAAAATTCCCCTTTTTATTTTTCTTCCTCCCTGCACAGAATTCGCATGGCATTTTAAATATTGATATCCTTGTTCCCAGCATGCCCATTTTAAGACAGAGTTTTAAAAAGGTGTCTACATTAAATTATGACCTAGTCTAAATAATATTTTCTCATTAAAATATGTAAATTCAAATTTTGTTAAGTTGTGCGTGTTTTTGAAGACTTGCAAACACATCGTCTGGGGGGTTGCCATTTTTAAATCATGTTGTTCAAACAGAGAAACCTCATTCGCCTTTGCAGATGTGGGAGGAATTATCCTAGGGGGGACCATGGAAAACTTTTGTGCACAGGGGAGAAAGTGAGGCCAACTATTTCATAGGCACACCCTGGGCACAGGTGCAGCGCTGAAGGAAACACTGAACACCTGCGATACTTCCTGTGTCTTAAGCATGCACTTGCATCCGCAGAAAACCGGTTGGAGTTTGCAAAGTACTCTCAGGCTGGGTTTCTCAGTTCTTGACCTGATGCCTTCCTCTAGGCCTTTAACACACTGCACTGTCACGGTTGACATTTCCTTTCTTTCAGAAATCACCTGAAGGTCCACTGTCCCAATCAAGAAACCTGTCTACCTTGCACTGAGTAGATTTCTTCCAGTCTTTCCGGTGAGGTTGGGGAGAAGTAACTAGAGGCATTTATTTTCAGGTTGTGAATGAAGTGTCTTTAAATGCCTGCCACTAAGTATTTGCTTTCTTTCCCTTTTTTTTTTTCTCCTCCAAGAATTAAAACTTACCAAGAATTTATGGCTCAAGACTAATTGACACTTGGTTGAAGGGGGTCACAATATTTTCAGAGTAAGATGTGTATTCAACTGAAGAAGTTACAAGACAAAGAGAAACTTAAATGGTGATTAACACTTTACTGTGTAAATGATTAAACAAGGGAGCCTTGTGAAACCCAGAGAAGGCCCCCAAAGACACATAGACACCATGCTGAATCACTCCATAAGGAGACCCTTTAACACCTGTCACCACATAATTAGTCGGCTACCTGGAAGAATAGCTAGGATTGATGCAAAGCATAATTAATCCTGTTGTGGCTATACTATTTTTAAAAGGGATCCACACACAACACACATGAACACACACACACACACACACACAAAGTAGAAAATAAATGAATCACTGAGCTGATTAAAATGCATGAAGCTTCTAAAGCCAGTCAGACAGCGGACAACTAAACTCATTCATCAAACCTAATTCACAATTATATCAACAAGATCAGCCAAAGCAAGCCTGGAAAACGTGGCTACCCTTGGTTAGGAAACTTAGTTCCCTGTAAGAAATCATTTTAAAAAAGAAAGTTAAATACATTTTCAGTGTCCTGAAAAATAAAATCAAGACAGCCTCTGGAAGAATCTGATCTCATCCAATTTCTTAGCACTGGAGGCTGGAAATGAGGCAAGGAAAGGACTCACGTGGGCCTCTGACATCCAAGAGACTCAGCCAGGTAGACTGGGAGGCTTCTGGGGACTGGTCTTGTAGGTGCATGGCAAGTGCACACTTATATCCAATATGCCTGGAGGCAGTGAAGTATAGACCTTGTCTCTGCAGAAGAGGGATTTTTGAGTTCAGTATCTGAAAATGCATTTTCAGCAGCTAAGTTTGTAAGGGTGTATCGAGAGGAATAAAATAACTGGGCCATTATGAGTCCTTTCAGGTTGCAGTCAAAGCTGAATGAGGAAAGGGAGGAACACACCAACTTTGATGGCGTTTTGATTTTGACCAGAAATTTAGTGACTACTCAGACAGACCTGCCTTACCCAGGACCACACCAGCCATGACCTCAGCTCAGAAACTTGTGTAGATTTAGCTGAAGTTCCTCACATACAAAGAACTTGGCAACTGATGGCTTCCATGGTTCTCTCTGTCATGTGAGATACTCACTTGGCTAGCATCCAAAGTCGAGACCCAGAGCTTTAAAATCGAGTTGGGTGGGACAGCACCCAGCCTGCAAGCGGAAGGGGGAAAGGTGCATGCCTGCCAGCGAAGTTCTAATCTAAAAGAAGCTGTGTTCTTTTAGAAAAGCTTTTAGTTTTCGCTTTGGAAACTTAGTTGTTTTCTTTCTTTAGAAACTTAGTTATTTTGTTTCTCTGAGGCTCTTCCAGGTCTTGTATTTAACTATATTTTTAAACCACCGCTTTCTCTGTGTTTTCGGCAGTGTTTATACAAAAGATGGATTTCTCATACTTCCTCCAGAGGGAAGCTGCAGGAGATTCTCACTGACAGGGGCTTTAGAAAGTTGAAGACTGAAAGGAACCCTAAGACATGGTCCCCAGTGACTTAAATATTAAACCAATGACTTTCGTTTCTTCCAATGGCTAAGAGTACTGAGAGTCTTAGAGGCAGCACGTAGGTTCAGAGCTCTGGATGGTGGGAGCGAGGAAGCTTCCATGCAGGAGTTCTGACCGGTAGGTTTAACACTGTCTCACTCGGTTGTGGCCGCAGTGCAGGACTGCGGGACTGAGGCCTGGGTCAGACTTTTACAAATGGGAACTCTCTTTGTCAGGCGCATTCAGCTTAGAGTCAGAATAGAGTGGGATCCCTTCCTAAATTCTTAATATAAATGCCAATTAATATCTTTTTCTTATAAAAGCCAAGCAAGTGCAGAGACACCCAAACAAAAACAAAACCGAAACAGCCCAACCCACCGGCTGCGAAGCCTCAAAGGGAATGCATTTGTTTCCTCTAAACTAACAACAAATTATCTAATTAATATGTTTCAATTACAGTGTGAAAGGGACAGCCCCAGGACCTCCCGCCGTGGGGGCACAATAGCCTCAGAGCCCACTCCAGGAATTTACAATAACTGCACATCTGTCTCTTTATTTTCCACTTTTTGAGCCTAAAACTCCTCTCCAGATCACTTCAGACCACGGCTTGAATTATGAAATATGTCCCAGTGTTAAAGGGGGATGAAACTTTGCCCATGGATGCTTCATTTGCAAGCCAAAAAAAAAAAAAAAGTGAAAGCCCATTGAAGGGCATTAAACAAATATATTAGAATTCTGTCACTTTATGCAATTGAGTAGATCAAATGAAGGGTCCCGACCACTTCATTCACTCTCATTCACTCGAATAGAAAATGCAAAGAATAGCAACCGAGACTGGGCCACCGCTGTAGACTTACTCCTTTTACTGGGAGACAAAAAGGCTGAATTTCCACAAATACATTGCTGACTTGGGGACTAGGAAACGGGGCCTGGAACCCCTTTGGAATTTAAATTCATTTTATCTTCCTCTCTTTGCAGGGATCTGTTTGCACTACAGTGTAGAGATGCAGCAGGCATCTTGGGGCTGCTGAAAAAGTGGGGGAGGGGAGGAGAGTGGGGGAGGGCAATGTGGATTCTCAGGGAACTAACTCTTGGCTATCAATTAACACTCAGGACTGAGATAATAAGTTTGCGTTCAGCAAATCTTTGTCTACATCAGTATAAACACCACAACATCATACGCATCTCCAGGCTGGGTTATACAAACAGTTTGTTTTCACACACCAGAGCCTCACATGTGAGCCACCAAGTTTGCTCCGTTCAATGAATATTTGCTCCTTGCTGTCAGCGGGGCTAGGGCAGAGCCACCCCGCTCCCCCCTTCTCCCTTTCCTCTCTCCTCCTCCCCCTCCCTGCTGGCTACCCAATTCGCTCATTGTGGTGATTAGCTATACCGTGCTAAAAATCTAGAGAGAAGATGTTAAGCCTTGGGTAGAATTTCCAGGCCAGGATTCATTTTGATCCTGGCATCGAATGGGCTCTACTGGGGTAAGATGAAGAAATCTTGTAGGGTTATTTCTGCCCTGTGATTCATTCCCAAGGCTGACGTTTTTGTTTTGGTGAACTCCACATATCTTCACATTATACAGGGCTTCCAATAAGTATAAGATCTCCTCCCACAGATGGAACTGGAAAAAGACATAGGAACCCTGGCAGCTTCCTCCATGTACCCACAAAGACGTGAGCCAATTTTTGTCAAATTGCATTATGAAATCCCATCTTCAGGATTTTCTGTGGTATCCTGATTTTTTTTTTTAAAAAAACTTATTTTGTGCGTATTAATTCATACCACATGAATGCCGGAAGGTAGGAATGGTTGTGAGCCACAAGGTGG